AGGCAAGCAAATAGGTCAGGGACTGTCAGGGATTCAGAAAGGGAGCAAGGAAGTAGGAACGCTATCACAAATCCAGAGCTCTGGGCTTGTGATGCTTTGTTTAAGCATCACAAGCCCAGAAGTGCAGTCAATCAGGTCAGTGCATCCCAAGGCAGGGGTGTGTAGCCACTAGGCACTAGGCAATCAAAGTAAGAAAGAATGCTATGCAGGCTGAGTAGCTTACTGCCTAGCAATGAGGATGCCCAGTATGCACCTGCTGCTGGCAAAGCGGAATGCAATGAGAATATAAATTATGTCAAATGGCTGAGTGGTGGGGACAGAGGTTGGAGTGTGAAACTGACTCACACTCCTAACACTGAGAAGATGTACTGACAGTACTTTATTATTATTATTATTATACAGTATTTATATAGCGCCAACAGTTTGCTCAGCGCTGTACATTACAATGGGAGACAGTACACGAGACGGTACAGTAACAATACAGTGCAATACACGAGGGGTTTGAGGTCCCTGCTCCTTGGATCTTACAATATAGGAGGGAGGGGATAATGGTACAGGAGGAAATAGCTGTGGGGGATGGAGTGGTAAGAAGAGTGGAGGAGATTGTCAATTAGGTGAGGGGGAGGGGTAGGCTTCCCTGAAGAGATGGGTTTTCTGGGTGCACCTAAAGGTGAGGAGGGTACGGAGCGGTTAGTAAGGTGGATGAGTCTGGCCACAGAATTCAGGATAGACTGAAGCGGGGATAGCCTGTGATGAGGTAAGCCGGTGAGGAGGGAGTTACAGTAGTCAAGTCGTGATATAATAAGGGAGTGAATGAGTTGCTTAGTAGTTTCTGGGGTTAGGAACGGACGTATTTTGGAGATGTTGCGGAGGTGGAGTCTACATGAATTTGTCAGCGATTGGACCTGGGGCTGGAAAGACAGATTGGAGTCTAGAATGACACCTAGTACTCTGGCTTGCGAGGTGGAACTGATGGTGGTTGTTGGTCGTGATGGAGAAGTCGGGGGGGGGGGGGGGGCGCAGGCTGGGGGGAAAACTAGGAGCTCGGTTTTGGAAAGGTTTAATTTGAGGAAGTGGAGTGATATCCAATCTGATATGTCGTTCAGTAGCCTAGTGATTCGGACGGAGACTGAAGGGGTGAGGCAAGGGGTAGAGAGAAAGATTTGCATGTCATCGGCATAGATGTAGATGGAGAAGAGAAGGGGCCCGAGGACAGAACCTTGAGGGACCCCAACAGAGAGGGGGAGTGAGGGGGGAGGGTGGCAGCGGTATAGGTAACACTGAAGGAGTGCTGTGATAGATAGGAAGAGAGCCAGGAGAGAGCGGAGTCTCTGAGGCCAAGAGAGTATAACAGTACTGTAAAATATGTATAAAGGAGAGCTCTCCTTGTATCAGGGAAATACTTTGCATGGGATTTTTAATGGGGGTTGATATGCCTTTACATTTTATATTATTATACAATAAATGGTCTTCAGATGTGCATGGGTGTTATAATGTTTTTGCTTTAGACTTGATATGAATTTTACTGTTAGAGCAGTACATGGAAACTTTCAATTGAAGCCTAGGAGCAGTGGTTTCTTTTTGTTTTTTTCAATGTTAAGTCTACAGTGAGGAACCTGCCTATTCAAAAATCAACTTCTTGAAAAGAACAGTAACTGAAATTCTCTTTATAGATAGCCATAGCATTTGCATCTGCAGCCTGAACCATTTTGTCTTACAGGTCCTATCTTGCCAAAACACTATTGTCCCATTCAAAAGTCTATTTAGTGCAGCAGATGATGTGATCACCCTGGGGCATACCAAACTTTCCATCGCAACTAATTAAAATGAACTAATTTTGGAAATATAATGATTTTTCAGCCAACACTTCTTTATACAAGCAACAACATCCTCTCATAAAACCACTGATTTACACTAACACATAGCCACCATGTTTTCATGCAACAGGCTGCTTTGGTTAACCTTGCCACAAAAAACTTTCCATGGCCACAATATCTGTTTCTAGTACTACCAATATACTACACAGCACTAAATAAAAAAAAAATAACAAGACAATTAACATCCAGTTCCTTAAATACCCAGTGTTTCCAGGATAGCTTGTAAAATTGCAAAGTCATAAGTATTTTGCCTCAAGGGCCTTACAAATAAACACATTTTACTCTATAGCATTTTTATCTTGACTTCTTTTTGGATGTGTTAATAAATAGCAGCAGCAGCTTTTGTTTGACGCTCAACTCCAGCTTTTTGCAAAAAAAAAAAATCCTATCTCCAGCACCACTTAAAAATAAAAATGTATGTTGTGATACTTACTAGTCAATGTCACTGTCTCCCTCCCAGATTCACCAATTCAGCATGCTCCTCTTCCAGGCAGAATGACAACCAACATTATTCAACCCTCCTGGTGTGAGCCCAGGGCATCATTGCTTAGACCCCTGCCCTTGACCTACAGGGCAATGCTAAAATCTTGGCACCACTCTCTACAGCTTTTAGGATTAACCTACCACCAGATGAAGAAAAGTATAAAGAGGATCTATGACATCACTGGACAAGCTCAAAAACACTTGTAAAAAAGTGCTTACAGATATTATTTTGTTTTGGTTGTGTATGTGCTCCACTGGGATGTCCTGTGCATGTCTGTATGGCAAGTGATCTGACAGTGCCTTCCCCCCCCCCACACACATATATAAGTACCCCCCCCATAACAATCTGTCCCACCCTTTAGGATGGTCTTTTCTTTTCTTACACAAGGACACTCTTGAAGACAGCCCCCCCCCCCCCCCCCCCATACCCCCTTTCCTGGATCCTGCAGGACCATCTTGGTATTTCAATAGAATGCTGATGCTTACCATGCCAAGATGTCTACCATGCCACGCTGTCCACCCATTCACTTCTATAAAGGGACATGTCCTGTATTCATGGAGTTTTGTTCTTGTATTTACAGGTCCTCCCATTGACTATTGGGGCATTTGTCCCCACCCAGCCCCCACCACCAACAATGGGGAATTTTTCCTCCCACCCATGCCAAAGCATTTTTGTCTCCTATTACACTTTTTTCTCCCCTACATGTAATGTTTTAACTTACATATTCTTGACATAATCCCTAAGCTTTGCTGTACTTAATTTCAACCAAACCAAAGTATTTATTGTCCTTCCTTCCCCAAGGCTTTACTAGGTGCACAGACACTCAGGTGCTCCTACTCATACAAAGGAGGATCTGATAAATGGAAAAGCTGCTTACAAGCACTTGCTGGTATACTAATTCTCAATCTTTCTTTTGTTGGAGGGGGGGGGATTCTGACTCTGCTTAGAGCCCCACATAGCATTGAAGTCACTCAGTTGCATTTTTTTTATTTGCCTGTAGAAGAAGATGATTGAAAATTACCAGTTTAACGGGTGCTGACTATAAGTGTGTCCAGGGCTTTTTTTCTCTGACTATAGGTGCAAGTACTCTTCCCCCTACCCATCTCCGAGCAACATCCATTGTCTCCTTCTCCCTACTCATCTCTCACTACTTCCCCTTTTAGGGAATACAGAACAAGCAGTGCTAAACAATTTTTATGGAATTTGTTAATAACAAGAAAGGCAGCAAAAAAGATCTCCTGTAGCCATCAACAATAGAATCTCCCCTAGCAACAATAGACCCCCCCCCCCCAGTAAAAATAGACCCACCCCAGAAACAAAATATCCCCCCAGCAACAATAGACAGACCACCGCCAGTGACAAAAGATCTCCCAGCGGCCAGCATCAGTAGACCCTCTGGCATCCAGCAAAAATAGACCCCTCCCTCAACAGTAGATCCCCTCCAACAGCAATTAACCTACCAGCAACAATAGAACTGTCAGGAATGGACTCAGCACTGGTGGTGGGACTCACCTGCCGTGTGGGCTGCAGTACCAGGGCTGACCAGCGGGTGCTCTCAGCTGCCAGAAGCTCACTCCTGCAATCAGCCAACACCTGGGACTGATTGCAGAAGGTTAATTTAAGGAATGTCCAGACCTGCAGTCAGTGCCTTGGTGTATGTTTCCCATGAGCCCCTGTACCTGCATCCTGTCTGCTTCCTGCCTGATTCCTGATTCTGCTTTGATCCTGACTCTGAGTGAACTCCGCCTGTCCTGACCTCAGCTATTCCTGACCACTCTTCCGCTCTCTCCTGGTACCCTGTTTGCCCGTTTGCTACCGACCCGGCCTGCCCGACTACGTTGATTTGTATATATGGTTATCTGTTGGAGTTTGGGTTGTTTGCACTGTGTTATGTTTACCTTGCACTGCGTTTGTGTTGTTTAGTCTTAATAAATTGTCTTATTTACACTATACCTGAAGCCTGCTTTTCCCTGTGTCAGTCCACACACCTCTGGTCATACCTGGAGCCCTGACCTTACACCAAGGCCATTTCTGACTAGAAGTGGCTGCACAGGGAAGCCATCTTGGCTTGTTGTGAAGGATGCATCCTGAGGAGGTTATATACTTGTGTCTGCTAGTCTTTGATGACAAACAATATGCCTATGAGACTCTGCAGGAGTATACCAGGGATCAGCTGCTAGAATGCATAGGGGTCGTGCATTCCCTGGTAGATCAGGGCACAGAGTTCTCTGAGGTGAAACCATTAATTCAGGCTTGTGTGGAGTTGGCTTCAGCTAGTACCCTTGAAAGCAGGGATTACTTTTTTCCCCCATTCAGTGCAGATCAAGTGGAATCGCTGGTATGGTTGTTGGAGGATGATCCAGATTGCTTCCATGAGCATTATGCAGCTTGTCCATCACATGTGCTAGTGGAATGTATAGACGCAGTGCAGTCTTTGGTCAGACAGGCTTTGTGTAAGCGGAGTTGTGTTCAACCCATACTACAGTCCTGGTCAGACTTGTTACACCCAGCCTCAGTCAGCTTGCAACAAACCAGTCCTGCTTCTCATCATTCCTCTGCTCAAAGCTCTTTTCCTGCACTCCCGACAGCACCCCCAATGACAACCCAGTATACCCTGCTAGCTACCACATGTCAGTCCCCTGCTCCCACTCGCTGCACCTATCCTGCCTTTTGCCCGGTAAAGAAGCCCTCTGTAGCAACTGCTCCCTCCTTTGTTCCATCCTCCGGCTCTTCCCTGTCTTCAGCTGCTCCATCCGTTTACAGACCTGCATTTACTTACAGTGCTCCAGTAACTAAACCCAAGAAGAAGCGAAAATTCTTTCCAACCAGTACCATCCTACCAGTATCCAAACCGTCAGCCTGCTGTCTGAGGACCCTCCTTCCATTGTTCAGCCTGATGCCCTGATGCCTGATGACCTGATCTGGCCTGATGACCCGATCCGGCCTGATGACCTGATCCAGCCTGATGACCGATCCAGCCTGATGACCCAGTGTTCGTGATCCATGACCCGATCCGGCCTGATGACCCAATCCAGCCTGATGACCCAATCCAGCATGATGACCCGGTGTTCGTGATCCAGCCTGATGGCCCGATCCGGCCTGATGATCCGATCCAGCCTGATGACCCGGTGTTCGTGATCCAGCCTGATGACCCGATCCAGCCTGATGACCGGTCCGGCATGATGCCTCGGTGCCCATGGTCCGGCCTGGTGCCTCGGTGCCCGTGGTCCGGCCTGGTGCCTCGGTGCCCGTGGTCCGGCCTGGTGCCTCGGTGCCCGTGGTCCGGCCTGGTGCCTCGGTGCCCGTGGTCCGGCTTGGTGACAAGGCGCCCGCTGTCGAGCTTGGTGACTCGGCGCCCGCTGTCGAGCTTGGTTACTCGGTGCCCACTGTCGAGCTTGGTGACTCGGTGCCCACTGTCGAGCTTGGTGACTCGGTGCCCGCTGTCATGCCAGATAACTCAGTGCCCGCTGTCGAGCTTGGTGACTCGGTGCCCACTGTCGAGCTTGGTGACTCGGTGCCCACTGTCGAGCTTGGTGACTCGGTGCCCGCTGTCGTGCCAGGTGACTCGGTGCCCGCTGTCCTGCCAGATGACTCGGTGCCCGCTGTCGAGCTTGGTGACCCAGTGCCTGCGGTTCTGCCAGATGACTCGGTGCCCACTGTCGTGCCACATGACTCGGTGCCCGCTGTCGAACTTGGTGACCCAGTGCCCGCAGTTCTGCTAGATGACTCGGAGCCCGCTGTCGAGCTTGGTGACCCAGTGCCCACGGTTCTGCTAGATGGCTCAGTGCCCGCTGTCGTGCCAGATGACTCAGTGCCCGCTGTCGTGCCAGATGACTCAGTGCCCGCTGGCGAGCTTGCTGACCCAGTGCCCGCAGTTCTGCTAGATGACCCAGTCCCGCGTTCTGCCAGATGACTCGGTGCCCGCTGTCATGCCAGATGACTCGTGCCCGCTGTCGTGCCAGATGACTTGGTGCCCGCTGTCGTGCTTGGTGACCCAGTGCCCGCAGTTCTGCCAGATGACTCGGTGCCCGCTGTCCTGCCAGATGACTCGGTGCCCGCTGCTCCGCCTGATGGCCCGGGGTCCGCTGCTCCGCCTGATGTCCCAGTGCCCGCTGCCTTGCCTGCTGCTCCGCCTGATGGCCCAGTGCCCGCTGCTCCGCCTGATGGCCCGGTGCCTGCTGCTCTGCCTGATGGCCCGGTGCCCGCTGCCTTGCCTGCTGCTCCGCCTGATGGCCCGGTGCCCACTGCTCCACCTGATGGGCCGGTGCCTGCTGCCTTGCCTGCTGCTCCCGCCTGATGGCCCGATGCCTGCTGCCTTGCCTGCTGCCCAGCCCGATGTGCCTCTGTCCACTGCGCAGCCTGATGTGCCAGCCCCTGATGTCCAGCTAAACTGGCCAATAACTGATTCGCAGCCTGCTCCTGGAGATCCTGTGTCCAGCAACCGGCCTTCCTGGGTTCCCCTACATAAAGAGAAGTCTGCCAGCAGGAAACCCAGCCAGCCGGTTGACTCCAGCAGTAAGATATCCAGCCAGTTACCTGTCCCGGGCGGTGGAACATTTTGCCCACTAAGGACTGTTTGGAGCGTCCTGAGGCCGCTCCTTGAGGGGGGGGGGGGGTACTGTCAGGAATGGACTCAGCACTGGTGGTGGGACTCACCTGCCGTGTGGGCTGCAGTACCAGGGCTGACCAGCGGGTGCTCTCAGCAGCCAGAAGCTCACTCCTGCAATCAGCCAACACCTGGGACTGATTGCAGAAGGTGTATTTAAGGAATGGCCAGACCTGCAGTCAGTGCCTTGGTGTATGTTTCCCATGAGCCCCTGTACCTGCATCCTGTCTGCTTCCTGCTTGATTCCTGATTCTGCTTTGATCCTGACTCTGAGTGAACTCCGCCTGTCCTGACCTCAGCTATTCCTGACCACTCTTCCGCTCTCTCCCTGGTACCCTGTTTGCCCGTTTGCTACCGACCCGGCCTGCCCGACTACGTTGATTTGTATATATGGTTATCTGTTGGAGTTTGGGTTGTTTGCACTGTGTTATGTTTACCTTGCACTGCGTTTGTGTTGTTTAGTCTTAATAAATTGTCTTATTTACACTATACCTGAAGCCTGCGTTTCCCTGTGTCAGTCCACACACCTCTGGTCATACCTGGAGCCCTGACAAGAACCCTCCACATCAATAGATCCCCCCAGCGGCAATTGAGCACCCAGCAGCCACTATTAATGCCATTACATACATTTAGTGTTGGAGGTACCGGAACTGCATTCCCGCTAAAAAAACAGGCCTGAGTGTTTCAGATTTCTAGTTCCCCTCTGTGTCTTGTGGCTTCTTCCACCAACACCCTGGTTAATGCAGGACACAAGATAAGTAATGTCACAAGAAAATAATGTAGACTCAATCACACAGGAGAGAAACTACCAACCCCTGCAGACAGATCAAATAATATGTCAAACAGTGTTGTTTTTAATTTTGTTTTTTTTTTCAAGCAGAAGTGCATTGGCAACACCATATACATAATTTTGCTTTCTGCATTAGTGCTTTCTTCCACCTTGTAGCTACTCCATAGCATATCATGAATCAAAAATGTTTACTTGAAGTATTTTTTTAGAGACACAACAACATAGTGTAAATAAAGACCAAAAAATTAGACATCCTCCTTGTTCAGCAATACACACAGTATACTTTGATCCATGGGCTAGGCAGGGTGGCCAATAATTACATAAAAATGTATATGCTGGGTTTTTATTTTAACAGAACATATCTTATAAAACAGTTTTTGCTAATCCATTTTTAAAGTGAACATGAGATCAGTCAATTTGGTATCTTATCATTTACCGCAGAGCAATAAATACCAGGGGTGCCATAGTATGCAGTCATCAACCCACTTTCCTTCGTCACAAGCCTGGTCCCATCCCCTTTTGATATTTGCATACTAGAGCGCCCTCAAAAATCTAGGGGGACCTAATGGTATAAATGAAATTATGCATATGGGGGTACCTGCTATGACATAGAGATGACGTTTTCTAAACACATTTTAAATACATGTTTAACTCATTGGTACACAATTATCTTTTCTGTTATTAAAAAAAAAACATCCCCTGAAGTCTCTGAGAAACTTGTTGGTGAACAAGAAATAATATTATATATGCATGACTGCAAATGTTTATATACACACTTATACTGTAAATATAAAAAGCACAAGAATGGGTCACTCAGCACTCAGAGTACATCTATGAAGAAATAAGAGAGCAAAAATTTATGGAAATCATAACTTTTACCAAGATTCAGAATATTCAAAGATTTAATTTGTTTTTGTAACTAATAAAGTTGAACAAATGTGCAGTTATAAAAAATATACCATCAATATTATATACTGTACAATACAAGAACTAAATAAAGTGCTTACTTAACTTCGAGCACTAGAGGGCAGCATTTTACCAGTCTAATACTGATGGCATGTCAGCTTTTTTGCACTTTTGACATGTAGACTCCTGTAATTCAAGTATAGGAACCTTTAAGAAGAAATTACTATTTGTTTTCTCAAAATGTTTAATGCTTTTAAATTATGCACTAAATAAACAGCTACGTATATATAAAGTTTGGGTGATCATAAAAATATGGTAAAGTAATATACAGTAACACTATTTAAATATACAGTATATAGGACCCATGCCTGTCACAGAACAGGACTGTTTGTAAGCCAACACGAAATTATTTCCTTGTGAGCTCCTACAACACAATATAATAATCTATTATAAAACTAAAAAAATTTTAATGAAAGCAGCTTGCACCTTCCACGCTCTTATATGTGTGTAGTTGACCTTATATACCAAATATACACTATATTGCCAAAAGTATTGGGACACCCCTCCAAATCATTGGATTCTGGTGTTCCAATCACCTCCATGGCCACAGGTGTATAAAATCAAGCACCTAGGCATGCAGACTGCTTCTACAAACATTTGTGAAAGAATGGGTCGCACTCAGGAGATCAGTGAATTCAAGCGTGGTACCGTGATAGGTTGCCACCTGTGCAATACGTTCATCCGTGAAATTTCCTTGCTACTAAATGTTCCATGGTTAACTGTTAGTGGTATTATAATAAAGTGGAAGCAACTGCGAACAACAGCAACTCAGCCACAAAGTGGTACCTCACGTAAAAACAGAGCAAGGTCAGTGCATGCTGAAGCTCACAGTGCTCAGAAGTTGCCAACTTGCTGCAGAGTCAATAACTAAAGACCTTCAAACTTTGTGTGGCCTTCAGATTAGCACAACAACCGTGTGTAGAGAGCTTCATGGAATGGGTTTCCAAGCCTTACATCACCAACTGCAATGCAAAGCATTGGATGCAGTGGTGTAAAGAATAATTTACAAATATTAGTGCAGTGCTGACTCAAAAATAAATGCTAAACCACTGGGTGTAAATAAATACACTTAAAAGTGCAAAATTAATATTAATAATACAATATAGTGCCAAAATAAATAAATATGAATATATATAGTGCCACCAATGGTAGAGTGACTCAAACACAGTGAACACACATAAAAATGATGTAAACCATTTAGGAAAGGGGATAGACAAGAAAGTGCTAAGTGCAAAAAATAATAATAAATATCCACACTTCAAAAATCACTCAAAATAATCTCAAAGTCCATAAGGCAAACGATAAGTGATAAATGCGTTCATGCAATGTGCAATGGTGCTATGCAATTCCGTGACCGTGTCAACACACTTCGTCTATTGCGGCTAAAGTGCCTCCTCACCTCCTCTCGATCACCCCCAGGGGCCAAACAGCTTTCAGGATCACCCTGGATCCTTAATCCTATGGGCTGGTAACAATCCTCATGCCGTGGATCTCCTATAGGGCTTCCATTGCCCTAGACAGGCAGTTTCTGTAGGACAATAGCTCACCAACACAGAGAGCCAAAAAAGATCCTCTATAGTGCAGTAATTCTTTGTACCAATACTCCTTTATTAAATGTAAAAGAATGCCACTCACATCTTTAGCAGTTCCCTCTCCTCATCGATGTATGGGTGTACTGCATGTGTGTGTAACTTCCTGGGTAGACCAAGATGGCGACCGACGCCAGAAGTGCGTCACCGCGCACTGGAAGCTGCGTATTTGCGTACCTACGCGTTACGTCACGTATTACTCGT